AGAAGTAAAATATGTCTTACACTGTGGTAACTAGAACTCTGCTAGATGTACATCTACAGCAGTTTAAAATTTGCTATCGTCTGTTATCCTAGCAGTAGCAATAAGGCCAGGCTGAGAGCAGCACAGTCAGTGGTGTGCTCAGCTCAGGAAGCCAGCTTTAAAGTTCTCAGAGCTGCTCAAAGCTGTCAGTGCTTCAGTGCACATGTACCTGTACATCCTTGCAGGAAAGGGGGTGTTCTGGCAGTGGGTGTGTGCCAGTTTACTGGATTCCATTCCCACTTGGCTCAGCATTGTTGGATTGTTTGCAAGGTTTTCAAGGCACCTCTTAAAAATGTATCAGTGACCTGGCACTTGACTATTTTGAATGTGGGTGTACCCCAGAGGCTGCAGTCTGGCCTTTGGTATACATTCGATTCTGGGTAAAGGAAGGCAAACTTTCCAGTCTTTACTGGGAAGTGATCCGCATCATTCCCACTCATTTGTACAAGTCTCCATCTTAACACTACTGACTACTTGCCCTCTGAACGTTCCTGCTTAAGCCTAGATGGTCCTTCTAGCTGCCTGCCATGAAAACTGGCAGCTCATTTTCTACACCCTTGAGGTCTTTTGTCCTTAACTGTTGTTCTTGAGAGAAGAAACCCAACATGGTATTGATTCAAGTGTATGTTGTTTCTAAGTACAGCATTTTATATACTACCACTCAACTCCTGCTGATTCACTGAGGATATTTCATAGCCTATACTTTAGGTATCAGTTTGACTTTACCTATTCACCAAAATAGGTTAACAGATCCTGTAGATGCCATACTGACACTTTCCTATGAACTATTTCTCAGGAGGCAGGTTGTAAAGTAATTTAATTACATACTAGGATCCAAGAGACAGCTGAATGGTCTGTAATTGATTTCTTTTTGGTCAAAACCTTCCTGGAAAACCCAGTTGTAGGAGGTGGAATCATGGTGTGAAGTGAAAGAGAGCTGTCCTAATGGGAATTCCCAGGTTGGAGGATCTGCTGTATCACCCAAGTGTACAAAACCAACATAGAACAGGCCTGCTGGTCACATTCTTCTTTGTTTTGAGTATTCCTGATGAATTTTGGGAGAAAAGGTAACCATATTTTTTAAGAAATTCCATATGAACTCTGCAGACTGTAGTAATTAGATGTGTGATAATGACCTTGTGTCCATATTTCACAATTTAGTTATGCATTTAAACATTTCTGTTAAAGCTGCTTTTTTTTGCCATGATTAAAGAATCTTTGTTTCACTGAGCCCAGTATTAATGTATTCCAGATTCTGTTTCTTCAGAAGAGTAACAGATGTTCACAGTTTGGTGCAATTTTCAGATGAGCAATGCTGTTTATAATGAATTTTCCTGAGACCACCCAACTCATTTCACTTGTAACTTGAACTATGTCCAAGTGTTGATCTCAAGAGATGTAAAAGAGATGTAATAATTCTGTGCCCCACCTAGTTCAAAACACATGACTTAGTATAGATGGAATTTAAATATGTATACTTCCAATCTACATAGAAAGCTGAAGTTTTATCTTGTATGCCATGAAAAATGGTGGTGGAAATAACATTCTTGCTTTAATTATCAAGTATTACTAGAATTAACTAAAATTATAAAACAAAGATGAGCAAGTGAAAAAGCACAACCCAGTAATTAAAACCAAAGAAAATGAGATTTATCCTGGAAAATGCAGGTTCATTAAGCACCAAAAAATATATAGAAATATAGCTTGGGATGAGGTGTGGGGATGTGACACAATGCATCACATCTTGTCAGAAACAGCTGCAATAAATTTTATGCTACATTAACCAAAATATAGTGTGATTTAGAGCTGTCTCTATCCAAGCCAATATAATTAATGTCAAATATTTTTTTTTAAAAAAGGATTGATAGTATTTAGGGATTTTAGAAAACAAGTATTGAGGAACTTTGGGCATCAGAAAATTAAGCTTCAATTAATATTTCTGCATTTATAAGAAATCTCAGAGATTCAATTATATCAGTTGGAACAACTCACAAAGGAGAAAGAAGCTCTGAATGACTTGAAACCATGAAAATGAAACAAACAATTCTGAATTGACATTAATTGATACTGAATGAAACAGATTTTTTTCTTTCCTGACATTCATTGTACTTTAGATTTAACATTTAGTGTGGTGTTATTTTGAGATTATAAACTGAGAACTCAGAAAAAAAAAAGATGCACTGAAAGGTTGCCATGGTAACCATAGTGTGCAAATGATCTATGTGAACATTGTGATCAGGGTAATGTCACACCATGGTATTGAGCCTTGCTGTTTGGCAGGTATGTATTTTACAACATAAGTTAAGTGATAAATGTAGATAGTTATAAATGGCATTAAAATCAATTATCTAATTTTTTTTTTTTTACCAACAGAACTGCTCTCCAGTGTGATGCAAGGAATTTCTTTTTTTTTTTTTTTTTTTTTGAAAATACCTTGGCTGGAGAGTTCTGAGCTGCATATAGAAAAACCATATAGAAAATGATATGGTTTTTAGGCACCATGAATACTCAGCCTTGTCCTTTGCCAGCACTCATTCTCTAGTCAGAACACCAGGGTTTTCATAAATGTGTGCAGTTGTGTCCCAGAGCTGGTGTGTGAATGCAGAGATTGACGGGATGCTGTGATCCCCCTGCTCTCAATGGCTTTTGTGTTTGCTTAGCTGCTTGCCAGCAATGAAGATGCTATTTCAGCATCTTCCTTTCAGCTGAAGCCAGAAATACCAAATGCAAAGGAAACAGTGCTGCTGTGAATACTGTAGAAAGAAAGGATTTTTTTTGTGAAAAATAAATAAATTCATTAATCATTGCGCCTCACTGTTATCTTTTTTTCTCTTTCTCTTAACTAGCAGCTTAAGGGCAAACTGCCTCTTCAGTAATTTTTGTGTGCTGGTTGCTAATGAAATTCTACACTTTCTCATTTGGAAATGAAAAAATATTTTGTCAGTGCCTTGGTTACACATGCTGTGGTAGATATTAGAAACAATCTGCTTTTTATAGTCTTATAATAGTCTTGACTTGAATACATGCCTGACTTTTGAAGAGTGACCTGTCTTGCTTTACAACAAAAGACTTGTGCTTTTAAGCCTGAACTTAAAATCTTCTCAATCTCCACTTTTTATTTAGTTTTAAAATAATCTTCTGAGGAAATCAGTTACTTGCTTTGTTGTTGTTTGGACTTTTTTTTCTGTCTTTCTTTATGAAAATAAAAGAAATATTGAAACTTATATTAGAAAACGTATGGGATGTAACCTTCATTGCTGCTCTAGCTCTGTTTCCCAGGAAACAGATCAGAGCAGCATGAAATTTATCTAAAGCTCTCAGATCCGGTGCAGAAAAAGTGAAGGCAGGTCTAAAAACTGTCTTTTAAAGCAATGACTGCTAAGGACCTTTTACAAAGCTGTGGTGTGAGTTTCGTGGAGAGTAGAGTCTGAGTGAAAGCCAGGGATCCTTTTGGTGGGTCTGCAGAATGCAAACTTGGAGAAATTCACATCTGGGCAATTTGACAACCTTTGCTTACAGTTACTCAGGAAGGCTGTCTTTACTTAGACAATCCATTCCCATGAGGACCACAAATAGTTCCTTGGCTTGCCAGATTGCTTGTGATCAGGTGTCTGCAAAGGTGCTTGGAAGTCCCCAAACTTCTGCCAGCTGGGCTGTGAGCATGGTCAGGTGTGGTTCCAGCTGCACAGGGGGCAGCTCTGAGCCTCTGAGTGTGACTTCTGCTTGTCCTGCTTTGGCAGGGGAAGAACAGCTATAAATCCCTTAGTCCAGTAGATCTTTACCCACATTTTAAGTCCTGATGTGCCACTATTTACCTGTGGAAAAACATTTGGCTTCAGAGTGCTGGATTTAGGAAATAAAAGCAGAGAATCCAAGTATTGTATATTTGTCTGTTGTTTGTAATGATGAAGCTTCCTGGTGTTTTCAGTAAACCACAATGTCACATTGTGGTACTGAGCTATTACTAAAATTGGCCTAATGCTATCTTCCTATGGGTAGGAAGGTTAGATTAGCATATGCATCAATTTGGCAAAAAACCCACATTAACTATACTTTTTTCAGCTCTTGATTTTTCTGAAAAATTCATGTAGCCTGGCCATGACTGTGCATTTTTTGAATTTGCCCCCTTCTTTAAGGCCACTTTTGTCTAGCCTTAAAAGTAGGACTTCCATGTGTCTCCTTTATGTGATCTTAACTTTGTGTTCTGCTGAAATTAAATTTGAGTTAGAGCTGGTTGAGAATTTTCCATCAGGAGGAATTTCAACTAGAAATGTCTGTAAAACAAATTCAGCAAAAAAAAAATACTTCAAAAAATAACTTTTTTTTTAACAGGAAAATCAAAACATACTATTCTGTTGCATTTAATTCAACCTGTTTGGTCATATTTAAGTAATTGACCTCAAGGATTTTATCTTTGAGTCAGTTGAATAAACAAAGCTCTGGAAACTGTATGGCACACTGAAAATATTTTTGATAGTAGGTGATAAATTTTGCAAAACTTTTTCCCCTGAAGAAAATGAAGTGAATTCCTCCAAAAAGAGCTGACATGTAAGCACATTTAGCCCGTGTTTCCAAAAACTGTTCCAAACTAAGAATGTGCTTACAGGTGTTTTGTCAAGTGTTGAGATGCTCCTCCTGTCCTCCCATTTTGAAAGGGATAAATATGTTACTCAACCCTTGTCATACTAAGAAATAGTAAGCAAGGGAACACTATTTTAAAAAGAAAGATGCAACTTTTTCTAGTCCAGTAAAGACTAGAGTTGATGTTGGCTTAAAAACAAGCAGGAGATGCAGGAAGGCATAGTAAGAAGGGAGAGTGTGGTTTTCTTGTACGCCAATAATAACAAGCATTAGAAAATATTCACAACTAGTAATCAAGATTTTTTTTAGAAAATGTAACATTTATATTCTTATTTTGTACAGTTATAACCAATTTCAAAATTTTATCTTTCTGCTTTCAGAATGATCAGTCTATGCAAGATATGCAGATAATTGGAGGAGATGATCTTTCAAAGCTGACTGGCAAGGTTTGTTCATTTTATATTTAAGAAAGAAAATAAATTCACTAAAAATACTTGAGAAGAGCTATATAATTTTTGTGAGATACTAATACTGGAATCAAAGTGATTTATTCTTCTGTATTAAATTGCTGTGATGCCGCTGCTTTCAGATTGCAGATGCCCAAAAAAGTCAGCATGTAGCCTCTCCATCCTTGTGCAGGATTTCCCAGTAGCTATACATGTACCATCAGCGAGTTTGTGGGCAAAATTCGTGCTGTAATGTTTCCCCTTAGCTTGTTTATGTCATGGAGCCTTGGTGTTTTTGCCTTCAATGGGTGTGTATAAGCAAAGTGCATATCTCTGTTGAATTCAGCATATAAGTTAATATCCTTTTTGCCTACTGCACAAAATTCTGTTGTAGAGCCTTTCACTCAGAGTATCAAATGGGATTTTTTATTTCAGCATCAGGCTGGCTATATGACTGAATCTGCACTAAGCTTGAGCCTTGTGATAAGGAGAGAGTGTGGTTTGAGGCAGTGAAAAGGCCATTTTCATCCAACCATGGTAATACCAAGCAGTACTTTGAAGAGGAAGGAAGGCTGATTTCATTAGGCAAATGGTCTGTGTGGTAAATGGTCAAAAAATCTTTACTTATGCATCAAGGCAACACAATACTTATCTTGTTATTTGTACTGTATGTGCAGTCACTGTCTTATTAGGTGGTTCTAGATAATATCAGGTTCTTCAAAGCACTCAAATGGAGCACTAGCAAACTCATTTGTTTTGTTGTACTATAGCACACAAGAAAAAGAAGAGGAAAACAACTTTAAATATTTCATTAATATTAAATAGGGTTTGATGCAACTAGAACTGAAACTTTAAAAATGCTGTTATACTCAGAATATTTTAGTGATATGTATGCACTCAATTTACACTTCTAAATACTCCTGCTGGGTGTTGTTTCCAAATTACCACTAAAGCATTAATCATATTCTGGGGAAATATTAATTAATTTGCTACTTTCTAATATTCAAACACTGGAGTTACCTGTTTTTCTATGATGATTTTGCATATGTTTCTCTACCTCCCAGGCAGAACTGGCAGTGCATCTTACTTAACATTTCTCTTTTTGAACACAGTTCAAACACTTCCTAAACTTCCAGGCCCAGCTTTCCTTCCCCATCTTCCCCATCCCCAGTCCCAAATTTCCTTGATTAATGGTTGCTGATATTAATATTATTTCCAGACATATTTCCAGTATAATTTGAATTCACTGGGCAAAACATTACTTTTTGGAAGACTTTTGTGTATTTATCTGTGTCCACATGTGTATGAGAGAGAAGGAAGATTTGACCCTATTAAGTCCTGCTCTTATCAAAAATTAAGTAAATTGTTTTCTTACAATGAAAATCCTGGTAATATTTTTCTCAGTGTCGTGGCTCTCCTGTTCCCAGGTGTGGAATGGGACACAAAATTTGGCTGTTGAAAAGCTGAGAGATACTTGCGGAGAAGACTGAGCAGCAACATAGTTTAAAATACTGGGCAAGGAGACCAGGATCTTGGGTAGGTGTGAGGTGACTGCTTTGGGAATAAATTGCTGCTCAGGAGGGGAGCCCAGTGCTGGAAGCTGGGTGTGGAGGCTGAAGGCAGGCAGGAAGGGAGAGCTGGGATTGCCAGGGGAGCAGACACTCAAAGGGCCTGTTTGGAGTTTGTATGTAGGGCTGTCTGTGACACAGCTGATGCTGGAATAATGAAATAGCATTTTCACTAGAACACGTGAGAACAGGATTCCCTTAAGACTTATTTTACTGTTTAAAAAGCTGGAATGCAAAGCTTAGGCTCAAATGCTCATGCTTGCATGTCTAAAGTTGGATTTGTGAAGGAGTGGCCTTATGTCTACAGATGCCAACTCCTCCATCTGTTGTTGACTTCAGCAGTTAGAGCAAGTATTCAGCACATTTTACTAATCAGCCATTTGTGGGCTGATTCAGAGCCTCCTACAGGCCATGTAAATCTTTTCCTTGAAGTGTTTTAGTACCTCTCTTTAGCTGCTGGCTTTTAAAACTGCCGGTTCAGTAGTCATCCAGTGTCACTGAGTGAATTAGTTGAAGACTTACTCAGAGAATTCAACTTATTTGCTACAGAGCAAGCTGTGTTCTTCCCCTGCCTGCTTGGAGTATTTAATAAGAAAAATATTGTAATTACATTGAAAAATTAATATACTGAGTTAAATCTCATTAACTTACTGATCATGGAAGGTGTTTTCAAAAGCTCAAGTGTGGCTTGGAATATAAGTTCCATTATGTTTCTGTAAAGTTGAAAAGTATCAGTAAAAGTAAACAGTTTTGAAACTCACAGAGAAAAGATTCTGAGATTTTGATGTTGAACTGCCTTTCATTAAGTAATAATACCTGGAACCTCAGCTAGCCTATAGCCTTAGTGAAGAACTAAGGCATGTTGCCTGCCTATTGGAAAAACAGATTACTGAGTGAACATGCTGGTATATAATAATGTTGGGGTTTTTTTCTGAGAAAGCTTAAAGAAAGCAAAAAAATTTAAAAGCTAATTAGAAAGAGGCTTTTAAAGAATAGCTCTTAGTTCTGTTAATAGCTCTTCAGAGTAGTATCTCCTCTGTACTTCTCTACAATATGCTTTTGTTTATAAAATTATTATAAGCCTGGCAAAAATGTATAACGATCTAAACCACGAAAAAGAGAAATATTATGAGAGTTGGCATACAGACCCAAACTGCCCAAATTGTTACCTGAAGAAAATCATCCTCCGTTTGAAATTATTCTTCTCTGAAGAAGGTCACTGAGGCAAGAATGAAGTTTTCCATAGCACAAATCATTAATTAAGGTACTTGAAGAATGAATCCTGATATAGCTTAACACTCTAATGCTTTGTAAGCATTTCTATCCAGAAAAAAAATAATTTAAAAATCTCTCCTTTAATCATGTAAGTAGTGAATGTAAAGTTTCTCAGTATCTGATTTCATGGTAAAGTGATTAGTTTTCAGTTACTTTAAAGCTGAAATGCTCACTTGTTTTTAATGTTTGTAAAGGGGAAAACATTTTGAAAACAGGAGATAATCAATTACTGTTCAGAAATCTGTTTCACAACAAGATGGCAATGAAAATGTATGGAGATAAAGTCAAAGAACAAATAATATAAGCCTGCATAGTATCAATACTGTAACCATACTGCATAACACTGTAAAAATTCCTAACATATTTTCAAGTATTTGTGACGTTTGAGCAAAGTAAATTTTAAAGCATCTAAAAACTTCAGTAGGTTCAGCTGTACCAGAGTTGTGAGTAGCACTGCCATTTATCTCTCATATTTGTATGCATGTATATTTTGTCTGAGGAGCTTAGGAGCTGGTTTTGTAGTCCAAAATCTCTAATGACAGGAATAATTCTGTATATCAGTCCATATGTAAGATATGTCCTGTAACTGCTCCTGTACCACTTTGACTTGTCTCCTTGCAAATGAGACAAGTCAGATAAAATCATACAGTTTATTTTTTTTTGCAATTAAATACTTATTACAGTTGTATAATATATTTGATATCAAACTTAGATCCATTATATTGTCATATATAGAAATATGCTATTTCTATATAGCATAGAAAGTGAACAAAATAATCATAATTCGTTTTTAAGTTAATATGAACTTCAAACTGAGACAGAGTAGTTATACAGTTAGTACTATACAATTATGGAGCAAGTTAATTAAAAAAATTCTGTCAATGCTTATGTTCTGTATGAATTCCCTTTGTTCATATTAATTACATATTGTTGACAGCCAGTGGTTTTGCCATTTTCAGTGTAGTTTAGAAGGTCATAAATAGCCATCAAGAAAAAAGGAAAGTGAGTATTTGTGTTTTCTCTGCACTTTGTTGTGTTAGTTTGAGCACTCCATCCTCACTCTGATGGTCTCCTAAAATAACTGATCAGCTCATAGAAAAAAAGTTTCACTCAGAAAATATCCTCCATGCAGCTCTTCTCAATTCCTTCTGGTAGGATTTGGCCTATAAAATCTCCAAACTTCCTTTATATGGTTTGCCTAAATCAATTTATCCACTGTCTACCATTTTCTTCACCAGCTTGTCATTTGGGAGGATGTTCCAGGAACATAAAGCATTCTCACTTTCTTCTCTTATGTCTCTCATTTCATTCCTATTTTATTGAACCATTTTCTATGCATGTCATAGTTTCCAGCAACAGTTCTGAGAGCTGTTTCTCTATCATTCTCCTAAATATGTTAGCATGTCAGTATTTAATAAACCATACATGTGGCAGCTGTCTAACACAATGTTTTACTCTCTAGATTAATATATATATTATCCTCACCATTTCAAGTTTGTTTCTCAGAATTGTATTGGTTCTATACTTATTATTCTCTCCAGTAGTATTCACTGTGATGACTAATGTTGTGATTTCTTCCCCATATGCATTCCTTTCCAGAGAAATGCCCATAAATGTGGAAAAACAATAATGCCATTCTTTTTAGAACATTATGTACGAGAGACAATTGAAATAACAATATACAAAATTCACTATATACTTTTGCAATAGTCATGTCCCCCACTCTCCTCAGCATGATACTTTATTCCTACCAGACATGCAGCCTTGCCTTCTTCATCTTTTCAAAGGTTAATTTTACTTGTCTTGAAGCATTGCATCTTCAGTACCTCTGCTTAACTGCCAAGTTTAGTCACTGTTGTTCTGCATTTTTTCTTAATTAGATTTGATATTGTCTATTCTTCTGACAGTTGCCACCCTTAACTGTTTTTTTTCCAAAGCAAAAGACACTATTTTTTCCTTCTCCAAAGTCAATCACCTTTCTTTGCACTTCTTTCTTAGATAATTTGTTCTACTGTTCATCATTATTTTCTTTTGTTCTTCTTGTTGTTTTGGAGAAAGGAAAGTATAAAAAAACCTTTACAGCCTTCCTATCCCATTTTTCACATGGGCTCTTCTCAGCCCTGTCTGCCTGCTTCTACATCTTACCTGTTCATAATC